AAAAAAACCCTAGCCCCAATGATTTGTAATGACACCTTTATTATACATTACATTTCTATATACCATATATACTTGTGTATAAGCCAAGTTTTTCAGCACATTTTTAATGCAGTTTTTGTGGTAAAATTAGGTGCCTTGACTGATATTGAGGTCGGCTTATACACAAGTATTTGCAGTATGTATATTTAGGTATCTGAGAATGTGCAAAAGAGTTTGTGGAGTAGTTCCCTTGTCTTTCAGTTCCATTTTTCCATTAACTTGAAGCCCCTAGTTTCTCTTGGCGTACTATCTATTCTGTTTCAAGGTCTGTTTATATCTGTTCACACACTCCCACAATGTTTTAACTACAGAGACCTTGTAGGAGCTCTGTGGCGTAGTGAGCTACACATTGAGCTGGTAGTTGCAAGATCAGTGTTTCAGAGCCGCCAGTTGCTGGTTGGAAGAAAGATGAAGCTTTCTTGGATTTCTTAAATCCAAGACCGATTTAAGTCTTGGAAACTTAAAGTTTACTGTGTCCTATAGGGACTTGATGGCAGTGAGCTTGTTTTTCTAAAGCAGTATGTCATGTCTGTCGGGGCCAATCGACCCTTATTGTTTTTTTCTTTCAGTATTTTTTGCTCTTCTAGTTGCAAAACATTTTGTTGTGGTTTGGGTGAGGGTTTACAGAATGTTTCCTATTCAACAGTTTCTGCAGGTTGTTTCATGCCAACACTAATTGCAGTCTCCTCGGTGTTACGTTTGTCCTCTTCCTGCGTCCTCTTTCCATTTTCCCTCTTCTGCCCACTCTTGCCTTCTGAGCTTTGTTTACGGGCAAATGCTGCCCTTTTGGTGATACCTGGTTGATTGGTTTGAGGACACTGAGCTCATAAGTGTGATGTTCACTTTATAGGCCACTTTTCTAGAAAGGTGATTCCCAGAAGTGGGTTCATTTCCAGGTTTGAAGGGTGTCAAAGGGCCACAATGTTGGGGATTCTCCCAGTTTCTATCAGGACCAATAATTGTGATTTTTTAAATGAGTTTGAATTTGATTGGGTTCTATGTTTTCTCCTACTCTGTTTAGGATCTCCTATGTGATCTTGATTCGAGCACTTAGTAGTAATAGCTGGGTACCATCTCTGGTTATTTGGGTCTCAGTATAGTGGAGGCTGTGATTCATGTTAGTCCTTTGAAAATTATTTCTTCAAGTCTTTGATTTACTTCAGTCTCTTTTGCTCTGGACAAGGGTGTATCTTGTCTGGCTAATTACTTGAGTTTTTGGCTATGCTTTCTTTCTCTCTTTTGGTCCTTAAGAACTCAAATGTCAGTTTATTCAGCTTCATAAAAACTCTTTGGGGTATTATTATTGGGATGGTATTAAGTTTTTAAGCTAACTTAGAATTGATTATCTTTGTAATGTTAAATTTTCCTATCCAAGAACAGAGATGTTTTTATTTATAGAAGGTTCCTTTTGTGGCTTTCAAGAGTAACTTTCTTTTTATAGTTTTGACACATTTCTTTTAAAATTATTCCTAAGCATTTAATCTTCTTTGTTGTTACTGTAGCTGTGTGTTTTTTTCTTTTCTTTCATATTCAATTGGTTAGTGTTTGGTTTTGCATATTCATTTAAAAACATTTGCACTAAGGGCAGAACAAAGTCAAGATGTTCATGATCTCCAGTTTTGCTCAATATTGTATTGGAAGTACTGTACTGGCCATTGTAACAAAATAAATAAATTATATGCATAAGAATTGGCAAAGAAAAATAAAACTATATTTGTAGATGACATACCGTATATACTCATGTATAAATGGAGTTTTTCAGCACATTTTTTATGGGAAAATTAGGTGCCTTGGCTGATATTCGGGTCGGCTTATATTCGAGTATATCCGATAGTATCCTAGTAAAACCCTAGACAATTCATAATAAAACTAGCTCAAAATATAAAACAAGATACTTGCTTAGGACTTAGATATATGAAGGGGCTTCAAAAAATGTGTAGAAAAGTGGAATTAGATACTGTAATTTTCTGTGAACCTTTTGAAGCTCCTTTGTATATATTTTATAATTAAAAATTCATTAATTTTTATTTTCTTGAGTGCCTTTATCAGGCATGACAACAATTTTCACTTTCTTGGACATTTAAAAAGGGTTCTTAAACTTATCTCTGGAGATAATCACATGCTATGCCCCCCCCTTTAGATCCATTAATGTGATATATATTTCCTAATATTGAACCAACCTTAATTTCTGGAATAAATCTTATTCAATCTTAGTGTGAAATTGAAGACAACAATGTGCAAAAAAAATACTATGCTTTATGAAAATCACATGGAGGAAGGTAGTTTGTGATAGGAATCCATACAACCTGTGAATTATTTGCATATAAATAATGGTAATTGGACCGAACTTTTCTAGCATTCTACCTGAGCTAGAAACCTATATTATTCATGATTTTTGTAGAAAGAAACCTTGTTAACTGAGTAACCTAAAAGCAACAAGTAAATCATATATAAACATTTCCTGGAGGAAATGCCTGGAACTTTGAGAGAATTCTAATATCACCAGCATTAGGACATAAGAGCATGCGTGTACTGGCAATGGAGCAAAAGGTGGACTGGATCGGGCCCTGTTCAGTTGTAGCCATGGTTTCTGGCATTCTGAAGTATCTAGATACTTCAGGAAGCAGTGGGGTCCTATCTTCTGTTTTCTTTCATATTATATTGGCCAGTTGTCTTCCAGGATTTGGGATGTACCTCTCAGCCCATCAACATATGTATAAAAATGTAATTGTGTTGAAAACACAGCTCTAGGCCCTGAGAGTGTTGTGGTCCCAATGAACACATGCTAATTGGGCACACAAGACATACTAATAATACCAAACACTAAATAACGAGACAACTGAATTATATTTGAGATAAGCATTTGAAGAATTCTTAAAGTGGAAAGGTAAAGAATCCAATCCTGCCAAACCTAATTAGTGTAGAGTCTTCCTCATCAGCTTAGCCGTTTTGTCTCCAGAGATGCTGAGGCTCTGGCTGAGGATGTATCATTCCCTCTCAAGAGGACACACTGGGGTCCTTATTGCAGGAGTGAAGCCAGTGGAATACATTTGCAGGATAGTTTACTGTCCCGTACTGGATAATTTTCTTTTAAATCCTGAATTTAAAACAGAAAAATTTCAGCATAATGAAGTAGGGACAAGGATATTGTTATTAGACCTTAGAAAACCTGGATCTTACCTTTTTCGGCTGCCTGATGGCTATGTGATCCTTACCTGTAAACTTTAAATAAGATTTCTCTACCTCTTTTCATAGAATTACTATGAGGAATTAATATAATTCAAATTGACCTGTTACATATAACCATCATGGTAGGCTAAGGACACGATGAACTGGTGTCCTACCAGTAAAAAGCTCAGCATCTAGTAGAACCAAAGCAGAGTAGCAGTGAGCATTGAAGGAGAACATTTTTATAAGTTGCAAAATTCCCTGAACATACATTGGCTTCTCCTGAACCTGGCTAATTTCTGATGCCTTAGCAACACATTTTTCACTTTTTTAACCAGTTCATGTGGTTCCTTATGTTTATCAAAAACCTACTCATCAGATTTTTATCTCCATGTGGTATATTCTCCTGTCCTTCTAAGACAGGCATGGTTTCTAGTCCTCTAGATAGTCATTGTATATTTCCTTACAGCAAGCTGTAATTTATGTAACCTGATTGTTATATGTGAATGTAACTTTGCTGGAATTTTGACTCTTTTTTATTGTATCTACTATTCTGCATAGTATAGTGCTTCATGTCAAATAGGTACAAGGTAAAATGGTTGTCTGATTCCGTGAATTAAATGTGGATTCTTATTAATGTGTTGGTGTCTTGTCATTTTTAGGTTAAAACTTAAACAGCAATTTATGAATATTGAAAATGCAGAGAAAGAAAAAAAAGAAAATTCTGACTTAAGAGAGGTATGATTTCAGCAAATATTTTGCTTTTACTTTTTTATTAAAGTGCTGCTTTAAAAATCTTTATTTTGTTTCTTTGTTTGAATGTTGCATGTCAATGTCCTGAAAATCTAATCATAATAATGAGTTTGGTATATTAAGATTATATGTCTAGAGCCTCCTTAAGTATTACTTTAATAAGCTTTTTATTTTTTTGCCACGTATTTTTCTTCAGACATTTGTATGAGATACAGAAGGTTGCTTAAAAAATTTTTTTAAATTATATCTTACAGGATAGTACTTTGATATTCTGAGTTTAAGAAATTGATTGTAAAATCACAGAAAGTTTAAGTTACTAGTGTGATTGCCTTAACATTTCTTAATACATGAGATAGTTCTTACTCTATCTCGATGAAACCTGTGAGTTTTATTTTTGGAAGGAAATTTGTTTTGGTAAAAGTCATTTGGGTTCAGGAAAAAATTTTATAAGGCTGGGAAAAACATGGAAGAGTATTTTCTGAATTTTATTGGCGTCTTTTCTTTTTGTGTGTCAGTTGTCATACAGACTCAATCTTTACAACTCCTACTAAAAATACACAGGGCAGGGAGGGGATGCCAGGGAGCGGGAGATCAAGAAGAAAGAAAATGTTTTGAAACTGATTGTGGTAGCAATTGTATAAATACTAGTAGCTTGATGTGATCTTTAAGAGCTCCCAATAAAATGAGTAAAAACAAACAATAATAAATAAATAAACAGGGAAAACTTTGGCCTGAAAAAGCACATTCAAAATTAGAAATTTGAGACACAACATTGTGCTTTACACGCCGACATTTGTTTTGGGGACATAGACAGTCTTGTGGTACTTGACTTTGCTACCACCTGTTTAATTTATTGCATGAAAAATCTGGATTCTTTTGACCCTTAGGCCTCATAATAGATTCTTTTAATTCATTGAGTCTCCTGGTGCTCCTTGTTTTCAAACTTTTCAGAATGTGGTTAAGAGTGATAAAAGTCAATGAAATAATGAGCATTTTACTGTTTGTTAATTAGCAAAATGGTTTGCTGGAAGTAGGTGAAATACTGCAGATCATTTGGCTCTATCCTGAAAACGGTGTGACTTGTGTAGGTGGTGGTTCTGGAACGAGATAACTACTTAGCGTTTTTCCACAAGGAAAAATACTCCCAGCACAGAAAAAAATGCAGTGGGGGAAAGCCCAAGTGACATTGCATCCTTTGATAAATGACATCAGGCCAGGGGATCCCTGACACTCTCAGTACATTTCTTAAAGCATCTTTTCCTAACACTGGACATAACAAATACGTGGAAGCTTCTTTAAAATCCTGTGACAATGATCCTTTTTAACTCACACAGGTCCCTACCTGCCTAGAGGGCAGAGAAGACTTGCAGGGCTTGCTGATCACAGGGTATTGTGGTTAAGGGAGAAGGGATTTCCTGAGCAGCTTTGCCAGTTGCTCTGCTGTTAAAAGTCTGTTCTTTCTTAGGAGGATAGGTGAACCCACACAGGAGACTTATTCTAATAGCTGAATTTTCTTTTTTCACCTCCCTATTCTACTAGCTGTTCCCTCTATTATCGGTTCTACCTCTTCTGGCTTGTGTATTAGGGGGACAAAAGGAGGAATTGGTAGGAGACCGAGGGAAGTGGTTCTTGATAATTCCTGATTATATTAAGAAATAACCCTAGCTAGCTACTGCTGTTCATAATTTCACTTAAGATGATCCTCAAGGGCACACCACATGAGTGGGGGGATGTTCTTGAGGCCAGATGCTAACTATCCAGTGTCCTTCTCATACCTGAATGTATTTATTTATTTGCCTTTCTTTTTCTTTTGAAAGCAAATCAGTAGTTTGCAGATCCAAATGACCTCACTTGCACAGTCAGAGAGTGATTTGCTGAATTCAAACCAATTGCTGAAGGAAATGGTGGAGAGATTGAAGGAAGAATGCCGAAATTTAAGAAGCCAAGCTGAAAAAGCACAACTAGAAGTTGAAAAGTAGAGTGTGCTCTTTTTTATGTACAAATGATTTCTTCTTTCTGTTATATGTAGATGTTTTAGTGATTGCCATGTTGAATGGGTTTTGGGACCTGGTTACAAACATCCTATGATGGTCTTAGCTAATGTATTTTCTATTTCAGTAGAATGGGCTTTTGAATTGTGTGTGTGTGTGTGTTTAAGGTGAGATATCTGTAGAAGAAGGGCTTTTAAAATTCATTCTGACCACTGTATTTTGAAAACCCACACAGAAAAGCTTTTCCACTTAATAAAACCAGTACATTTATTCAAATATCTTCTGAATGCCTGCCAATAGATTTTTTTGTTAATAGGCAAAATTCACTTCCTACAATTAAAACTATTGTTTCTTAGATTTTTCCCTTTAAAAAGCTCATTCACTTATCATTTGAAATTTGTTAGTAGTAGATACTATCGTAAATTGGTAGCAAAGTAGGTGACTGTGCATTGAGCTGCGTTAGCAAGATGAGTGTGGTTCAAAACCACCAGCCGGTTAAGCAGGAGACAGACTGGGCTATCTACTCTCATAAATAGCTACAGGCTTGGAAACCCACAGGGGCAGGTTTATAATGTCCTATACAGTCATCATGGGTCGTCATCCACTGGATTGCAGAGAGTTTGGTTTGATCAGGGAGGTGATATTTTCTGGAAATAAACATCTTGTGTTTTTTGGAAAATTTTGTTTGGATGTGGTAGAAAACTACGAATTTTAATTTGCTTTGCTTTTGCTATCTACGAGTACTACTCTTCTCTGATGTGTGCTTCTGAAAGTCACACTGATGCCAAAACAAAAGCAATACAATGACCGTGTCCCTTCCATTTTTCTTTATTTCATAGTTTGAAGGGTGCTTGTGGTTTTATACATGGAACTTTGTATTGTAAGAAAAGGAAGCAAGCACGATCTTGGTTTTAATGTGCTGTGACTCTTTACAGGGTTTCAACTTATTTTGCTTATATTTTGCAAAAGGCAGAAATTTCGATCTCTGGCTCCTCCTCAAGTGTTTGATTGAAAAGGGCTTAACAATTTTATGTACTAGCAAATGTAGTATTAATAATTTAAAACCAAATAATTGGTTTCTGAATGTTAGTCATAGGATTACATAGTAGAAAATAACTGGACCAGGGATCAATGAGATGTGCTCTTAGCTGCAGCTGACACACTTAAAATCTACATGACCATAGGCAAGTAATCGGACTTCTCGGGGTTTGGTGTTCTGATTTTTACAGTCCACAATAAGGGTTTTCAAAATCATATATAGTGTGCAAAAGGATTTTAACCAAAATAAGTTATGAATATCATTTATATGTATTTTACTGTAGCCAGAAAATAAACAGTGTTCAAACATGATACCAGGGTTGATTTTCACCCAGTTTTAATAGTTTAATGGGCCTAATTTTTGTAGCTTGGTGGTAATTATAATTCAGACAGACCTGGTTATTATCAAGTGTTTGGCGTGCCATTAACCAGGTGGGAGTCTTTCAGCAAGTTAGTTAACTGCTCACAGCTTTAGTTTCCGCATATGTAAAACAGAGATGATGCAGGTACCTAACCCAAGTGGTGTTGTGAAGAATAGATGATGCCGTGCACGCACTGTTCTAAGTAAGCAACCTGCTGGCTCCTGCGGGCTAGCAAAAACATGTAAGAGAGGGTTTGCCTGCAGCTGGAAAATTATGAGTGTGTGGTGAGCCAGGTTGTAAGTTTGCTTATGCTTGTGATTGCGTTCATTTAATTCTGGGAGTTTATGATCACTTCCACATTTTATGTATGTTCTCCTGACAGGACTTTGGAAGATAAACAGGTCCTGTGGTTTGAAGAAAAACATAAACTCCATGAGCGAATCACAGACAGAGAGGAAAAGTATAATCAAGCTAAGGAGAAACTGCAGCGAGCTGCAATTGCCCAGAAAAAGGCAAGTGGTAGTTTTTAAATCGATTTTCCAAAGTAAAGCATAATTAACTATTCAGGAGAATAACATGTGTAATTAAAACTGAGGCTTTCGGGGTATGCTAAAATTGATATTTACACATGATAGTTTGCTACCAACTTTGCAGAGATAAATTGGGGAACTCTAAACTGCTCAATGGGTTTATTTCTCGATTGTATCTGTAAGTCAGTTGGTCAGAGCTGACACATATTTTCCTACAGTGGTGGTGTTTTTCAGAGTAAAGATTCCAGGCCAGGCCATATAAACCCTATTTAACTCATTCTGTACCTGCGTTTTAGTGTGTTAGGTCTGTTTTAACTAGTCTAATTCATACCTGTAACATTCCTATTATGGTTAAAATGCTTTGTGGCTTGTAGCTCTGGGATTGCAGGAGCAGGTGTCTCCTGGCCTCCAGCAAGAAGAACTGGGACTCTGCCTAGCATCTGAAACATCAGTGTGAGTCCCGACAACACTGATCCTTTCAAGTTTCACCTTTGCAGCTGCCTTTCCCCAGAACCCCAAAACCTGTGTACGATATCATGGAAATCACGTAGCTAGATGACTCATCTAAGCTTACAACCTTCTTTTCCTACTTCAGCAAATCCAAAGATTGTAGCATGGTCCCCGTCAGTAACCTGTACTCACTGGGACCATTGACTCAGCAGGTATTTTCAGCGATGCTTTTCATCAATCACCTTACTACTGCCTGTGGGAAGATGAGAAGGTGCTTCTAGACATCAGTACCCTACTGATCCTTACGCTTATTGGAAAAGCAACCGTTCATATTTGTGTGAGAAAAGATAACTAGATATTCAGGAGGCTTCAAAATAAGTTTGTGTTAAAATGGCTTTCAGAGTTAATGAATACTCTGATTTTGGAAATCAAGGACACAGCTGCAAACCCTCTATTTGGATATAACTGCCAACTGTGTCCTGATAGCTGGTGTCACAACAGGAGTTGTCTGGAAGTCATTACTTTCTCACTTCTTGGTTTCTGAATAATGCTGTTCTCTTCTCATAATGTTAGAACTAGTATAGCATTGAGATTAGAAAAATAACATTCACTCTGTGAGGATCCGATGAATCGGAATCTACTTGACAGCAGTGGGCACGTGGGAGTCCAAATGTTTTATACTCAGTTATAAATAACTGAACTAGGAAATAGCTAACCAGCCTTGTTTCTCTTCATCTGAAAGCTTAAGGTTTTTATCCCCATGTCACTTTTCTTCCTTTCTGCTTATATTACGTTTATGAACAGAGTGCAGATATTGATTACTTGTGATCTGAGAAATCCTATGTCTTATACTGAAGCCTGGAACCAGATGCAGCTAGAAATCACTAGAAATTATGAGAGTTGATATTTGGCTTCTGTGTCAAGGTTTTAGAGATAATTATCTTAGAGATCAGATTCTAATTACTGAGGTGAATCAGGGTTGACTTCTTGGAGCAAAAGTGACATCCAGTGGTGAGAGAGATTATCCACTGATCATCGAAGGGATCCCAGAAAGAGGGAGGAAGACATCTACCTGCAAAGTAAAATGTTGCTAGTATTGTGACCTAGGATGAGTTATTTTTCATTTTGAAATGATGGGTATAAACATAGTAAATACTTCATTATTAAAAATATGGTTATGTTGATTATAATTTAAGTCATGGGAACTTGTTAAGCTCAATTCAACTACTTACTGTGGCCCGGAGATTATACCATGGACCACATAGGCCAGTGCCATAGCAACTTATAATTTTATTTCATTTAAAGTGGATGTGACCCAGCCTGTGCGATCACGTGGTGTCAAAGGGATCAGGTATCAGGCATCATCAGAACAAAAAATCATATCATTGTGAATGAGGGGGGAGTGTGGAGTGGAGACCCAAAGCCCATTTGTAGGCCACTGGATACCCCCTTACAGAGGGGTCTCAGGGAGGAGACGAGCCAGTCAGGGTGTGATGTAGCAACGATGAAACATACAACTTTCCTTTAGTTCCTAAATGCTTCCTCCACCCCCACTATCATGATCCGAATTCTACCTTGCAAGTCTGGCTAGACCAGAGGATGTACACTGGTACAGATAGGAACTGGAAATACAGGGAATCCAGGGTGGATGATCCCTTCAGGAATAGTGGTGTGAGTGGCGATACTGGGAAGGTGGGTTGGAAAGGGGGAACCGATTTCAAGGATCTACATGGAACCTCCTCCCTGAGAGATGGACAACAGAAAAGTGGGTGAAGGGAGACGTCAGACAGAGCAAGATATGACAAATTAATAATTTATAAATTATCAAGGCTTCATGAGGGAGGGGGAGGGGGGATAAAAATGAGGATCTAATGCCAGGGGCTTAGGTGGAGAGCAAATGTTTTGAGAATGATGAGGGCAATGAATGTACAAATGTGCTTTACACAATTGATGTATGTATGGATTGTGATGAGAGTTGTATGAGCCCCTAATGATTTAAATAAATAAAGTGGATGTGACATACAAGTACTGGAAGGGATCTTATCCTTCAGATAGATAGGATAGGATAGCTTATTCCTTTTAATAGATTAAAAAACTAACTTAACTAGTAGCAATGCCTAGAATCAACATCTTTCAGTTCTCAGTCTAGTACTCTTTCTAATACACCGATACTCTAATTTCCCAATTACTTTGATTCTAAATGGTGTGATGTTTTTCCTTTTCCTCTTAATTGGAGGCACGAGTCATAGCTTTTAAGATGAAACAATCATTATAAAATTTAGTTTCTGCAACTCCCTTTTCCATTCAAGTTAAGGATAAAATTTTGGTGCGAAAATTTTGACTTTTAAGGTTATATAAATACTCAGTAGATTGTTTATTTGCATTGCTATTTTCTATAACATCTCTGTAAACACTGAATTAGCAAATACCTATCCATCCATGTTCAACCTCAGCTAAAACTTAAGGTTTTTTTTCTACTCTGCCATGTGCATATCCATGAAAGTGCCATAAATACTGGTTTTGGAGTTACAGGTAAATATTAGCAAGTGGGTGAATTCAGTAAAGAATCCACAAATAATGAGTATTATTAGCAGTGCAACAGATCTTTTAGGTTCTTTATATGAATGGCAACCTTCTTATGTAATAAGACTTAAGGCACATCATAAAATACGAGTCACAGGAAACTGAGAGGTTCTTTTAACTGGGGAGTCATAGCAACTTATTGTTTCGCCCCAAACTGCCATCTGAGTTTGCTTATTTGCAGCTTTAAGCTTCTAAGCACAAAGCTTATGTATTTTTGATAAGTGTTTTTAAGTAGGTTCTTGTGAGACTGGTACTTTGCTCTGTGATTTGTTTGGGAAAACTTGACCGGAGCTCTTGAGTCAGAATGCCTGCAGTGATTGATGACTTCTCTGTGTGGATGCCTCCTGCTTTTTGAAGTGTGACTATCAAGAGACATCTCTTAGAGTAAGCACATTGCGTTGTGCTTTTATTCTCCTCGAGGCACATGAAGTGGCGACTTGTTACTTACAGTCTAAGTTATAGCTCTCTGAAGTAATTCTTGGTTGAATCCCATTATGAATGTTTTTAGAAAAGAAATAGAATGTACATTGAAGTTCTGGAATCTCTATACACACAAATGTGATGTGACTAGTACTAAGTGTTGTACACTTAGGGGAAAGTTGAAACCATGGTTAATTTCTGTCTTTTATGACTTTATAATATAATTAGAGAAGTAAGGTAATAAACAATAAATACCCGAAGAATGCTGAATACTATGAGTCACTTCCAGATGATTCTTTTGGACACTAAATTTTCAGAACCATCATGCTAGAGGGAAAAAAGCCCGGAGACAGGGAGACTAATTGGGAAATTGTTAAGCAAACTTAAAGTGAGATAAAAAGTCTGAAAAGGTTTGAGATAGAGGGATAAAGATAAAGGATGATTCCTTTTTGGAGAAAAAACAATGTAGACTAGGGTAGTATGTAAGAAGATAAATACAAAGTATTTTAGCTGTGAGGGTATACAAATGGAGTTGCTATAATAACTCCATTGAACTTTTTATAAGATATAATAACATAAAAATGAATTTGTGTCAACATAGGGGTATAAAGAAAAAATCAATTTGACTGCACAAATGTCAGATATGAAGTGATGGCAGTAGGTACAAGTAGACATGTTCTAGATTCTATTGTATAGATAATTGGAAACAATGGAGTGCAAAGCTTGGAGATAAATAACTCAAATTGGAAATGCATAGTTAGAAGCTTGAAGATTTAGAGGTGATTGAAGAATCAGAGGCTGATGAATTAAGTTGATTTGGAAAGAGGATCTAGGTACAATGGAGGAACAGTCTTAGAGGTGGAATTAAATTGTGGTTAAGAAAGCCATATGGAAAAAATAATAATTTATAAATTATCAAGGGTTCGTGAGGGAGGGGGTGAAGGAGGGAAAAAACATAAGCTGATAACAAGAGTTCAAATAGAAAGAAAATGTTTAGGGAATGATGATGGCAACAAATGTATAAATGTGCTTGACACAGTGGATGGATGTATCACAATAAGAGTTTTATGAGCCCCCAATAAAATGATTTAAAAAGAAATAAGAAAGAAAGCCACATGGAAAGGAAAGTCTTCCGGATGCCACGTCGCTGCTGCTGGTCAGTGCCAAGGAGTGGAGTCCGACTCGTAGCTGCCCTGTGTACAACAGGAGTCACTACCCTGCCCTCTGCCCCTCACAGTTGTACACTTGAGCTCATGGTTGCAGCCACGGGCTCAGTCTGTATTGCCTCTCTACTAAGCATGATGCCCTTTTCCAGCATCTGGTTTTTCTTAACAATATGTCCAGAATACGTCACAAGTCTTGTCATCCTCACCTCTAAAAAGCGAACATTTTGGCTGTACTTCTACTAAGATTTTTTTAACACTTTTGGCAATCCGTGGTACTTTCAATATTCTTTGCCAGCACTGTAATTCAAATGCATCGCTTCTACTTCAAGCTTCCTTATTGAGTGTCCAACTTTCACATGCATA